TTGTATTAGAGTTTGGTATAGGCTGGATTGTGACTCTGCCCTCTGTCTGCCAAAAGGACTGATAACGTTAAGAAAGACTGTGTAGAATTGTGTTCGTGTAACAGTGAAGCTTTCTAGAATTCCTGGAGCCAGAAAGACTTGACATGAACTTGCAGATTCTCTCTCTTCTCATGCTCAGAGTCCTTCCCTACGAGTCACCCCACCCTCACTCCTCAAACAGATTTTATTATTTGGTGAAAATAATTTTGATTTCTAATTTTGTTCCTTTTTTTTCCTCCAAACTAAAAGCAAGCAGAATTCCAGTGCTTTGAAAGATGCCATTAAAAGAATTATGCACAGTGTTTCCTCTAGAACTGGAATTCTTCTACAGAAAATAATGCCGTCAACTTTTCACATGGCTTCTATCTTTGTGGAGGAACAGAATTTGGTGTTCTCTAGATACAATTACAAGAAAATCTGCAAAGTGTGCCTGAGAACTGTACACAGTTTCATCATAAGAAAGACCCGAGTGAGGGGGAAAAAAATAGAAAAAGCAACAAACTTAAAAGGAAGGGAAGCCTCCTTTGCTTATTTTTCTCTGATTTAAAACCCATCAAAATTCCATATATTAAAAAAAATGAAACAAGACTTATCATAGTTTCAGTGTATCATATGACTTCCCTGAAATGAAATATTTTTGAATTGTGCCAAAACAAAAAAAAAGTTTATAATCTATCTCTGCAAGATTTTTTAGAAAACCAGCTTTGTGTGTTTCAGGTTTTCAAAAGGAAATAGAACTTGGGAGTTTTCGAGGCTGTTTTTAAACAGCTGGTACATTCCCAACTCTATCAGTGCAAATCTGAGTCAGGAAGTAGTAAGGAAATTCTAAACTCATTCCCTCCCTCTCCATGGTTCTCCAAGATTCTCTATGTTTTCTTGTGTAAGAAGTGTGTTAAGGAGCTGCTTTGTTTTGCTTCTGGCGTGGAGTGTCCTCAGGTACTTGAGGCCACGCTTCTCCTGAAGGAACCTCAAGTCTGTACATCTTGTGACACAGCTGGGCTCCTGCTGCACTTACACAGTCCACGCTGCACATGGTTGGAAATTCGGGCTGAAATCACAGTGCATTTGATAAATGACTCCTCACACCTAACCCCTACTTCACACCAGGCTCAGAACACAAACTGAGTACCCTCATCTAGAGAAACCTTGCCAGGGGTTTGTCCTTTGAATTCTTTTCTTGTAGACCTTCTGGGGAACCAGAAGATCATAGAGAACACACTAAGTGCATGTAAAGGCAATGTGATTAGAAACTGTATGCATCAGGTCTACTTAAAACAGACTAAATTGGGAAGTGTAAAATCTGAGGAAATTGGTGAGAGTTTGGGAAACAGGACCGTCTGCATTGCTTAAACAAATGTTCCAACTTTATGAAAACACCTACAACTTTCCAAATAGTGCAAATGAGAGGAGTATCTGTTTTCCTCAAAGGTCTACAAAATTTCCATTCAGAAGACTAAGACCATGCTTTATCCAATTTGACTTTCCTAGTTTGGAGAATTTGTCTTTCTGAGAATCACCCTTTCTGCAAGAATGTACCTTAAGTACAGCATGAAATTCACTTTGTATCCCATCAGGCAATAGTAACAGGTTGTATTGGATAAACTATAACAAAATATTTGAAAAACATAGGTCTTAGTCAAGTCTAACTATGTGTTCATCACTAGATCAGATGAGCTCTTCATACTCTCTTAAGTTGGCTGGGTACACTGGGCCCTCAGTCATCTTCCCATTAAATATGCTTTGAGAAAACTATGTTTTAAAACAAGTGATACCTCTTATTTATATAGTATGTAATTAAGATGTTTTTAAATTAATCCATAACCAAAAATAATATTCTCTCTTGAAATTGTTGCTTTGTAAAAGAAAAAAAAAAGATGGAAAAGGAAAGGAAATATGAGAATTTCAATATGAGAAATCTAAGAGAAGAGCTATCTACAGACATGGTTAACAAAGGCAAATCTCAAGTGAGGCACTTTTTCTTAGTTTTATCCTTTTTTTACTCACATACGTATTTTTTCTGATATGATAACATATTTGAAATATTTGGGGAGTACTTGGGCAAGAAGCATACGTATATTATTACTACTTTTTTGGCAACACAGTTAAGAGATTGAATGCAAAATACTGAAATGTTACAGTACCAGAGAAGTCAAGAAAGTGGCCCAAGTTTCCAAAAACTTTCATAAACATTTCGGTGAACAGAAAAATCTATACCTCCGCTCCCCCGCCCAAAATCCCATTTTCATCTTTTATCATAAAAAAATACCAGCTGTATCCACAATGACTTGTATTTTAAAATAAAGTTCTATACTCGTGCATTTTCTGAGTGAATGCAATAATAATATTTCTGTTCTTTAAAAGCTTTGAGCATTTTCCCAATAAAAGTTAATGTCAACAACTAGTTCTGATGTACTGGGGGAGGAGGAGATTAGTTTTAAGAACAATGTGAAGCATGATATTGCCAGGATATATTGTTTTTATAAACCATAGAATTTTATTTTTATCAATTATATATAAATGCCTTCTGTATACTAGCATTATTATAAGTAGTTCTGACAAGTGGGTTATAATTGTAAATAATGCTGAAAAAGAGTGGTTTTTATGAATTCTGCCGAGCCTAACAAAACAAATATAAGTAACATGTATTTCCCTCATTATACATTACATTTGGTGAACATGAATATGAGGGTCAAATACTCAGTCACTCTGCAGCTATCCCAGGCCTCACTCTCTCCCCTATATATTATTATTCCTGTCAGAAAGTCCTCCTGCTCTAAAATATAATTGTACATTGGCCTTCCTCCTGTTCCCTCTACAGCCTACTTTCAAAAGGGGAGGGGGCACATTTTAACATCTCTGGCTTCCAAGAATGTTTTCAATATCTGTCATTTCAGAGCCACCATACAACATTTGACAACTTCACTGCCCTGTCGAATTTTTACAACATGATAATCGACGTGAACTACTGCAATAGCCAAAATAGTGGACCTTATATGCCTCATCACGCTGATATCCGATTACCCAAATATCAGCTTAAGATGCCTAATGGACCTAACTTCTCTGAAAAGGTTCCAGAAGTTGATGGCTTGAGGGAGCTCGGAAGTAACAAGATCCAGATGCTGTCTGTCTATACTACACCCAACTATAGTGGATCCCAAAGAGATAAAAAACCGTACTCTATGCTCCAGGTGCCCTTCTTTTACCCTCCTACTCTTCCTCCTCACTCACCCTCACAGCATGTACACGCACACACACGCTGCCCACCAGGGCAGCTCATCCTGAAGCCCTGTCCTTACGAAATGTGTACAGCATCCGTTATTTCCTGCCAGTTATAGGCTAAAAAAAAGATCTCGTGCAGAGAAGCAACCCTTTTCATTCATTTGGGTCTGAAGTTTCCTTTGTGAATATATTCTTCAGCACAACACAAGCACTACATAGACACCATGATATTTGAAGCAATTTTTTAAAATTAGCCAGCCAGATGAGTAAAAGGGATGGAATGCCTCATTCTTCTCACCCCAATCTTGCGGTTATTGTTTTTGTGTCTTTGGGGGTGGTGGGAAAGGACCCAACATTTCCTCGTTTCCACTTGCCCTGGCTTTGCCGTTCCCTTGAGGAATAGCAGGCAGCCTTCTCTCCAATTCCCCAAAGAGTTAAAACTCAAGGCAGTGGAACAGGAGGGCTCGCCTATTTAAGCCACAGCAGCACAAAATAAACCCTCACAAAGGCCAACAGCAATGTGGGCCGACCTTGGAGGGGCAAGACAGATCACAGAGCGACTGAATGAGAGAGAAAGGGGGGAGGGACCCGCACAGCCTTTAATATAATAATGAAAGTGTGCCGCCGACCGATCTGGCTTACAAATAGGCATTGTTTGATGAGACAGAATAAATGAGAACACGAATTACCAACCCCTAATCATATCAAGCAGTCCTGGGGACAGCACAGATTACTCCCGCACGCCTTGCTCACTGTGGGCATATTTGTTACGAAGACAGAGGAGTCTGGCTAACGCAATGCCAAGTGGAGTCCTCTGTAAAGACATAGAAAGCATGCACGATGGGGACAAATCCTCCTCCAGCCCTGAAGCCCCCTCAAGTCAGTCCAGTGCTGACCATCAGAGCTGTGGCTTCACACCTGTGAGCCCCTCTGCTGTCTTTACTGCAGGCTGAAGTTCAGGTTGGCACTGGCCACTCCTAAGCTGTGGGGACTTGCCTTGCCCCTGACCCCCTAATGACCATTTGAGCTCAGACACAGGAAGCCTCGAGTATTTAACCAATTCAAGTCCAATTACCATCACTTTACACTCCTCCTTTCAAGACCCAGGCCTCCTTCACCCCACAGCCATAGAAAGTAAAAAAAATGAAAAAAAAACATTTAAAAATCCCTATTGTAAAACCGCTCAGTTCAGACCCTAGCACCCTGATCAACACAGACACAAACTAAAAGGTAAGAGGCGAAGGGAAACCAAGACGCATCCAAACAAACTCGAAGACTTTGGCCAGCGCCCCGCGCCTGCCCACACCCCATGTGCACTCTATCCTCCGCGATTAAAAGTTTGCGGCCCCCACCCCAGAGCGCCCGTCCTATCCAGAGGGGAAAGCCTCTGCGAGGCGCAGACAAAGAGCAGCTCACCAGCAAAGCCCCGAAACTGTATTCCGTGCCTGCTCACCCCGGTGGGGATGTGGCCTCAGCCCTGCCTATCTGCAAAGATTTGGAGGCTCCAGGAACACCGAGCCAGTCAAACAACAACAAAGGACCTGGAGTGAAACTGTTAGCTCCAGTGACTGAGAAAGCCGCCCTTCGGGGTTCGCTGCTCGCTCCCCTCCTCTCCGGCCTCATGAGCTCCCCAGAGGCGGGGAGGGGGCTGCGCTAGGGCCGGGGAGCCTCCACCCGCCCTGCCAGGTCCCCCATCCCAGCTGCAGAGACCACGCTGCCCGGCAGCCCGGGGTGAGCCGTACCTTGGTTTGGAGATAGTGAGGGTAGTAGTAAGTGTACTGTGGGTACATTTGTGGCTGATCCAGGCGTTTGCCCATGTAGCTGGAATCTCGGTCTCCGAGGAAGGGGACTGGATGTGAGGGTTCAGTGCCCCGGGCCGGTTCCTCTTACACCGAGTCCTGACAGTCGGTGACTGATGAGGCTGCCGGTGACTCCTGGTCCTCACCGCTCCCCCAGTTTCAGCACAGCAAGAATGTGAAAAAGAAACACACCAAAAAAAAAAAAAAAGAAAAAGAAAAAGGGGGGGATAGGTGGGGGCGTAGGGGGAAAGGAAAGGTGCCCCCAGAGTCTCCCCAAATCCTCAGGCTTCTCCCAGCCGCTGGGTCCACTTGAGACGAAGCAGTGTGTTCTCCAAGCAGGCTGTCTGGAGTGATGTCAATTCCCAGCGTTTGTAAAAGGGAAAGGGGGGGAAAAAATCAAAGTCCTTTGAGCACAACTCTGAATCCTTGCTGTTTAGCTTCCTCCACTTTCTTTCCCCACCTTTAAGAAAAAGAGAAGAGAAAAAAAAACCCAAAAAGGGACGGGGAGGGGGAAAAAGAAAAGAAAGAGGGGAAATTAAAGAAAAAAGAAAAAGGGAAAGGGGGGAAAAAAGAAAAACAAAAACAAAACAAAACAACCCCCCCTGCACAGCTCAGTGGCTGCTCTGTGCCGCCCAGAGTGACATGGTGTCCAGGGTCTGTCCTTGGATTCACTTCCCGTCTTTGCAGCCGGTGGGTGGAACCCTGAGAGCCTCTCCAGGGACGTACGCAGTCCAGAAGGCTGCACTATTTCCTCCAAGAAAAAAAGGCTGCTCCAGCCCCTGCTGCAAGCAAACTTGCGATTCCCTCTGCTGGCTATCTGGAATAGCAAGGCGATTTCTGCAGCAGCGTGGCTGCCGCGGGGACTGAACCTGGGGCGCTCGGAGATGCAGGCGCTGCATCCCTGCCTTGCCCTCCTGGCACCGACCCCACGCTAGAGCTGCCTTCTTCTCTCCCCTGGCCAAGTTCTAAGGTAAGACACGCCGCCGCTAAGCAAAAGGGAAGACTGTGGGAGGGAAGGGAGAGGGGTGGGGTGGAGGGCGGTGGGAGAAGGCAGAGGGACCAACCTTGCCACTTAAAATGGAAAAAAAAGAGTGTCCCAAATGCGTTCAAAACCTGCTAACACACGGAAGCCAGAGAATTCAATACCTGCTTTACCAACTAACCTTTACTTCCTGAAGGACATGGAGGAGGTTAAGTATTGAAGAAATTGTAGAGCGGGTCCACTCCAGGCGACTGTTAACAAGCCATGCAGCATCACACAGCAAAGCTCAACTTAGCCCATCAGAAAGCGCAATTCCTGCCATGGCACTCATTTTGCAGAAATCAAAACCTCTTTGGGTTTACCAGTTTCTTGATAAATATAAATAAAATCACTACGTCTCTCCCCATTGAAATTCTTTTATGCTTATTTTGGTTCATGGGTGTTTTAATTGCTTTGCTGATACCATCTCCATTTTTTTTTAAAAAAAGGACAAAAATCATAATTACTTGGCAGAGGTCCCCCCCCGCAATAATAAGTCATATTCTGACATGTCTATCAGCTGCTACATTACAATAGAAATTGTTTCAGAGAAAATATATTTCTTAAAGGGTCCCTTTTCAGGGCGGGCAAGGCTAAAATTAGACATCCCAGCTGTGTTTTGCTGAGAGAGCTCACGCATGCCCAAAGCGTGGGCACACCAATATCAAGCTCCTCTCTACTTCAAGGCCCCACTGTGCTCCCAACCAGAGTCATCCTTTCAGATAAAACAGTTTCTGGTACGAATCCAGGGTCCTAATCAATAACCATGGAGACATCTAGCCTGCTGCACACAGGGTGAAGATGCCCCGCTGGCCTAGAGGATAGGCTCTGGGTTACTAACCCAAAAGGTCAGTGGTTCGAACCTATGGGCAGCTCTGCAGGAGTGCCAGGTGGCAGTCTGCTTCTGTAGATATTGTGCAGCCTTGGAAACCCTAGGGGGTAGGGTCTCACAGGGTCGCTATGAGATGGAATGGACGCTACAGAGCATGGCCATGGACGTGTACAGGTGGTGTCCATCCAAGTGCATGCCTTACCTCCCCTGAGGCAATGGAGTTCTCTTTAGGACAACTTGGTTCTGGAAGCTTTGAGAACGTAGGGATGCTGCTTGGAGAGAGTAAAGATGGTGTATAGTTGAGTGTTTTTCTTTTGACTAGAATAACAGAAAGGGAGAGAGGCTGAAAGGACAGGAGTTCAGAGTCCTGCCAATGCCAGCACTGCAACAATTCAGTCAACTCCAGCCACGTTTTCAAAGGGCTAACACTGAGAAGAATGGGAATCCCAGAACACTTAACTATGTTAAAAAAAAAATAAAATCTATATCTAGATGAAGAAGTTGTTGTTTGAACAGAGAAAGGGCACAGTACATGGTTTAAAATCAGGAACGGTGTGTGCCAGGGATGTCCCCTTTTTCCATCCCTATTCAGTCACTATGCTGAGCATATAATTCATGAAGCTGGATTCTGTGAAGAGAAATATGCCATCAGGGTCAGAGGAACACTCAACAAAAACTTGAGTTAAACAGATGGCACAACCTTGTTTGCTCAAAGTGAGGAGGGTTTGAAACGTTTGCTTTAGAAGATCAACAACACTCAGTATGGATTACATCTCAACATCAACAACAGTCCTCACCACTCGGCCAGTGGGTAACATCATGATAGAAGGTGAAAGACTGACGCTGTCAATGATTTCATCTTGCTTGGATCAACAATCGATATCCTTAGTACTAGCAGTCACGGGAGACCTACTGCATTGGAAATGTCTGTTGTCAGAGATTTCTCTAAAATAATGAAGAGCAAAGATATCAGTCTGAAGACTAAAGTACACCTGATTCAGGCCATGATCTTTTCGACTCTTCGCTATGCATCTGAGAGCTGAACAATAAGTAAGTACAAGAGTAAAAGAAGGCTGTCTTTGAGTTGTGGTATTGGCCAAGAGTACGGAATATCCCATGGACGGCCAAAAGAACACTCAGATTTACCTTGCAAAAAGAAAAAGTGCAACTAGAGTACTCCTTGGAGGCAAAGATGATGAAATGTCATCTTCTTACGCTTTAGGCATGTTGCTAGGAGAAGCTATTCCTTAGAAGCAGACATCATGCTTGGAAACGTGGAGAATCTTTATAGATATAGATGAATCAAGAATCAAATCCCTATGCACATCCAGAATCTTCTCCAACAGGGTAAAAAGGGAAGCCACAGGCTGGGGAAAAAATATTTGGTAATGACATGTCTGATAAGGGACTTATATCTAGAATTTATAGACTACTCGGAACATCACAACACGATAAAGGTAAACAACCCAATTGCAAAATAGGCACAGGATATGAACAGACACTTTACCAAGGAAGACATTCAGATGGCACACACACACTTAAAGAAATGCTCAAAATCCCTACCTCTAAGACAGATGCAAATCAAAACAACTATGAGATTATCAATCATCTCACCCCAGTAAGAATAGGAAAATTCAACAAAGCAGCAAGCAACAAATGCTGATGAGGTTGTGGAAAAACTGGAACCCTGTTGGTGGGAGTGTAAAATGGAGCAACCACTCTGGAAGACAATACGGCACTTTCTCAAAAAGTTGGAAATAGAAATACCATTTGACCCAGCAATTCCACTTCTGGGAATATACCCTAAAGAAATTAGAACTACCACTGGAGCAGATAAGATATATGCATACCAATGTTTATTGCTGCTTTGTTTACAAAGCAAAGAGTTGGAAACAACCCAAGTGCCCATCAACAAACAAATGGATAGAGAAGCTGTGGTATATTTACACAATGGAATACTATGCAGCACTTAAAAACAAAGAACTCATGAAATAACATAAAAAAAATAGGTGACCGTGGAGGACACTATGCCAAATGAATATTTCAGTCACAAAAAGACAGACACTGTATAATGCCACTGTAATAAAACCAGACTGGGATGGGGCCTGGGGAGAAACTAAGAAAAGAGGGGATAAATAATGTACGCAGCATTGAAATAGATGAAGGAGGTAACTGTATAAAAGGAATATATGATTAGGTATTATTGGCATGACAAGAGTCCAGAATAAGAGCTGCATAGTAAAGTGGTCTGGACTGTATAACAATGAAAGAGTTTTTATCCCAAAGAAAAAAAGGAATTGGGGGGAGGTGGGAAGGGGAGGCAAGGAGGAAAATGTGCAACAGTGAATGAATGGAAATCTGAGTTCTTTATAAACTTTCAATAAAATCTCAATTAAAAAAAAGAAAGATGGAGAGTCATCAAAAGAGAGGAAGACCCTTCAACAAGATGCATTGACACAGTGACTGCAGCAATGGTCCCAAGTGTGTCACAGTTGATGAGGATGACACAAGAGAAGACAGAGTCCAGGTCGGTTATGCCCACAGCTGTTACATGATCCAGTGGCATATAACAACAATAATTTTGGACCTCAGACTGATAAAAATGGAAATATCACCAACTCAACTGGCTGACAACAGTAGACAAATTCATATACTAAAACTAACCTTGATTTAAGATTTTATAGAGGCATCACATTGCTCATACATATATCCTACATTCCAGGGACAGTTGTCCTGGAAAACTGTCTTCTGCTTCTTCCTTTGGTCTATGACCTTATATTTGGTCCCACACATTCTACTGTCACACACACACAAAAAAACAGCCTTTGCCAATTCTTTATTCAAGTATAATACTTCAGGGACAGTTGTATGTCAACTCTCACTAGAACCTCCTCCAAAATTTTCTATCAGTAATACCTCTGGTGGCCCACTGGTAAGAAACTGCGCTGCAGTCCCAAAGGCATGAGGTTCAAATTCACCAGATGCTCTGCTGGAGAAGGACGGACAATCCCTTGCTGTGTGACCAACTGCCTCTGAAAACCTGCTGGAGGGTCAGCTATGCATCAGCTCCAACACCACGGTACACAACAATAGATTTCAGCAGTCTGTTATTTCAACAGTGGATGACCAATCCTGCTTTTAAGTCTGTCTTGGTCTGGAAGCTCGGCTGAAACCTGTCCACAACAGGTAACCTTCATTGTGTTGGAAATACTGATAACAGAGCTTCTAGCAACACGCCCCGCCAAGTCACCACTGTCCAACTAACTGACATCTTTAGAAATAATGCTGGTGAAAGCTTGTGTCATACACATAGAGTGTGCTGTCAAGAGACACCAGTCTTTGGAGAAAGACATCAAGAGAGGGAAAGTAGAGAA